AATCGGAACCATCAGGACCAGCAGACCCTGGGCCTCGGCCACCCAGGATGAGCAGGGAGTCAACTGGATGGGGCAGGAGAGCCTCCTGCCTATCTGTCACCAGCAAGGCGGGGCAGGGCCAGCTGAGAAGGACAACCCCATTTTATTTTATTTATTTTTTTTTTTTTAAAAGATGACCGGTAAGGGGATCTCAACCCTTGACTTGGTGTTGTCAGCACCACGCTCAGCCAGTGAGCGAATCGGCCATCCCTATATGGGATCTGAACCTGTGGCCTTGGTGTTATCAGCACCGCACTCTCCCGAGTGAGCCACGAGCCAGCCCCGGCAACCCCATTTTAAATGACGGTCCCACCTATCAAGTGCCGACTATGTCCTAAGTCCCAGGGACAGTTCAATGTCTCTGAATTCATACAATCCATGAGGTAGGAACAATTTTAATACCTTTTATAGTTGAGGAAACTGAGGCCCAGAGAGGGGCATTACTCTGCCAGGGTCCCACAGCAGGAAGTGGAGCCAGAATGAGGCCAGGTCTGACTCCAGGACCCCTTACTCTGCGCCTGGAAATCCCCTGCACCTGCCATGTGACATCCCACCCTTACCTCAGCCCAACATCTGCTCAAGAACCCTGGTCACTGCCAAGCCAGTAGATGCGGTTTGGCTGCCAGCCCACCCCTGTGTCCCCAGCTCAGGGCTCTCTTCCCTCCTGCCACACTTGCAGAGCCTTCTGGACCTGCCTGGCACTGGGGAGGGGGAGGCAGAACACACAGGCAGTGCTGTGGGCAGGGTGCCAGGGTCCAGACTCTCCTGAGAAGGCTGGGGATGGGAGCGAGAGGGCACCAGGCCACCCAGAGCCCCCTGGCATGACGGCCTACATCATTTGTGGGGTCCAATGCAAAACGAAAATGTGAGGTCCCTTGTTAAAAATATATATATTGAGAATTTCCCAGGCTGGCCAGTCAGCTCAGTTGGTTAGAGCATGGGGCTGGCAACAGCAAGGTCTGGGGTTCGATCCCTATACTGGCCAGCTGCCAAAATTTAAAAAAATAAAAAAGAATTTCATGTCAGTGGCAGCAGAGCATTAAGCACAGGCCACTCACCCATGAAGCAGGCCCAGACTCCTGGAGCTAGGCACTGGAACCCAGGGCTCCATCCCAGCTGGCCCTCCGTGAGTTTCCCAGTCTCCAAATGCAGGAAGGAGGGAGTGGGGAGAGGGGACACAGTCCTTGTGGGCTCTCTCCAGCCCTGGGGGCAGACCTGCGATTGTACCCAGCTTAGCAGAGTGGCCTCACTCTATCCGTGAAGTGGGTTAACACAAGCCCCTCTCCCAGGGTGGCTGCACAGCTTCGTTAAGGATGTGCCAGTGGTTCTGCCCCCCTCACGTACCCACCCGGGGCTGCCATCTGCCTTCCTATCTTGCAGAGGGACCAACCCCAAAATTAATAGGGAAATTAACAGGCAAAGTGTTTGGAATTTACCGGTTCCCGCTCACTGGCTGAGCACGGTGCGGGCGCAACACCGAGGGTTGCGATCCCGTTGCCGGTCAAAAAAAAAAAAAAAAAATGGCCATGGGATGATAGTGGGTGTTAGAAAAAAAAAAAAAAAAAAAGTGTTTGGAATTTGACCCATGGACCAGGGAAGTAACAGGGAGTGGAGAAACTTCCTTCCCACCGAGTCATTTTTTCCTGGGCCCTGGCTCTCCTCCCACTGGGTGCACAGCGGGGGGTGCCAAAGAAGCCCCTGACTTGGCATCAGTTTCCTGGGTCAGAGCAGCCAAGGGCTCAGACCCTCCCATCTGGTGGGAGACAGATGAAATGCCCACCACCCAGGCGGCTGGGGTTGGCCTGCCCTCAAATCAACAGGTTATGGGTTTGTGACAGGGAGAGAGGCCCCTATCCCCACCCCAGACACATGAGCACGCTAGAGACAGCGTCCAGAAAACACTCATTTACCCGTATGCTTCTGAGATGGCCCTGGCAGTCACAGCTCAAAGGGCCCTTCACCCACCAAAGTCCAGGCCCTCAGCTGCCCCAACCACGGCAACTGGCCCGGGAAGTGTGGCACCAAAGGCGGCTGGACGTGGAGGAAGGGCCAGGACTGGCACAAGGTCATGATGCTGGTGAGTGGGGGCCATCAGCCCCAGGGACAAAGGCCACTTGACAGCCCTGGAGGTGCGATGGACCCCAGAGTGACGTGGAGTACTCAGGGAGTGGGGGGTGGAGATGAGGGACGTCCCTCTGCTCCCCCTCAAGCCGTGAGGCCCAAGAAGGCTCCTAGTATCCCCAGGGCGAGGAAGGAAGGAACCCTAGGTCCACCTGCATGTGGCAGGAGGCAGGATCCATAAATTAAATGTTTTTGGTGGAGTGTGGTGGCCTGGGGTGGGACGGAGACCTGAAGAAGGTAGGGCAGCTGGTCAGGTGACAGGGGCTACTCCGTCCTCCAGGACGGGTGGGCGAACACGATGGGCCTCTTCTTGGCCCAGCGGGAGAAGATGGCCTTCTCGGTGATGAAGCGGTGGGCGCTGCGGGGCGCCCGCTCGTGCGCCAGGTACATCTGACACTCGTCCAGCCGGCCCTTCTCGAAGTAGTGGTAAGGCACCGAGGGGGGACGCTCCTCCCTGTGGGCAGGGAACAGGGCTGCTGTGGGACAGGCGTGGAGGACCAGACCCTGCCACCTGCCACCTGCCACCACCACCCCTCACCAGGCACTACCGGCCCACGGAGACCCACACCTGGACAGATGGGGAGGGGCAGGCAGCCTGTGGATCTCAAAGGCCAGAGCTCAAGCCCCAACTCTGCCAGGGCCAGCAGTCTGGCCAGGGCCATGGCAGGGGCACAAGGGCTCCCGCCATCTCACCCATGGGCTCCATGAATAAGTTCCAAAGAGAACCGAGGGTGAAACCGTGGGACCTTTTCTGAACTCGTGAGTTACAATAATATTGGAATATTATAGTATTATAATATAATAATGTTACAAAATAATTCCATAACCATTATCTGAACTTGACGTTATAATGTTGAAACAATATACAAAATAAATGTATGGAATATATCACTGATATATATGTGTGTATTATCCCCAACTAAGCACTTTTATAGCTTATTTTCTCTCTAAATGTTTCAACAACCTTCTGAGGAAGGGGTGATTCTTCTCTCTATTTTACACATGAGGACGTGGAGGCTCTGAGAGGTGGCCTGGCCTGAGGCCACACCTACATGTAGTGCCCTTCCGGAGGCTGAGCTCTTTCCCAAGGCCCAGTGGTGACCGAGGGGTGTCTGTGCTTCCGCCACCCACCATGAGACCACACAACGTGTACCCTCAGCTCCCAAATCCACTGGCTTAAGGCCTGGGCAAGGGGCCCACAGTGCTTCCCGTCTTCCCTCCTGCCCAGGGCCTGCCCAGACTGACCTGCAGTAGCTGTCACTGACCATTCCATAGACCACGATCTCTTCGCATAGCTCCAGGGCAAGGATCATGGTGAACCAGCCGGTGCTGAGAAAAGAGCCCGATTGCCTCCTGGGGGTGGGGGTGGGATAGGTTGGGAAAACTGTCAGCCAGGCCCTCCCTGACACCATGCAGGCAGCCCAGGCCTCAGCTCTCTCAGGGCACCAGGCCAGGGCCACTCTCCTTAACCTCTAGAGAGGGGGCCCTAGGCGAGGCTTGGGTGGAGAGAGCCAGCCCAAGGCCAGCTGTGGGCAAGAGGTGGAACTGGACGCAAACCCAAGTCTGCTCACCTCCTCCCACCCAAGCTGCTCCACAGGGCTTGAGCAAACCACCCGGTGAGGGGTGTTGGGGCCCTGGCCACTTCCTCTCCTCACTTAAGGGACCAGGCCTGGGGAGACAGCAGGAGGTGTCAGAGCGCAGTGGTTAAAAGTGGGGGGGTTTGTCTGGAGTGAAATAGTTTTTCCTTTGAACCTGACTCTGCTGTGGTGCATCAAGTTGTGCGTTAAATCTGTCTGAGCTTCAGTGACCTACCTGTGAAATAAGCATAACTATAGGAGCTTACGGGGAGGGAAGGGTGTCAGCCCAGCCCCTCTGGGCCTCAGCCCTCTCCAGGAAGCAGCACTGGCTACACTCCCAGCCGAGGGCCACCCACCTTGACCTCTACAGAAGGGGTATGGGCTGGTTCATGCCTTCAAACTGAGCACCTCCCGGGCCTTCTGCAGGCCCAGAACCTGCCGCGCCTATTGCTAACATTCAAGGGAAGGGGCACTGGGAGACAAATATCTAAATATGATGATATCAGAGGGTGACACCTGCTGCAAAGACAAGGAAACAAAGGGTAAACACATGTCAGGGCAGGTCCTATAGATGTGGTGGTAAGGGAGGGCTTCCCTGAGGAGGTGACATTTCATTCAGACTTGAGGGCAAGAAGGAGCCAGTCATGGGAAGATTTGGTAGAACATTCCTGGCAGAGGGAATGGCATATACAAAAGCCTGAAGGTGGGAACAAGTGTGGACGGCCAGTATGGCTGGAGCGCAGTGAGAGAAGGAAGACAAGGTCACAGAGGCAGGCAGGGGCTGGATTGTCCAGGGCTTGCAGGCCAGGGGAGGGCACGCAGTGGGCAGTCTGGATTTTATTCACCATGTGCTGCAAAGCTGCTGGAGGGCTGAGGGCAGGTGACTGATGGGACTGAATTCACTGGGGTGGCTGGAGGAGTTCACACTGCAGGGGCAAGGGGGCAGCAGGGACACCAGCAGGGAGCTGCAGCAAGGGCAGGAGGGGATGGTGGGCATAGACCAGGGTGGCAACTAGGGAAATGAAATGAAATCCAAGAGCTATCGTGTGTGGCAAGTGATGGAGTGAGGGCTGTCAAGGGCAAAGCCCAAGTTTTTGGCTGAAACAGGGGAGGCCACGGGTCCTACCACCTGGTGCAGGGAGCAGGGCGGGGGCCCGCAGGAGTTAGGAGTGTACTGTTTGGTGTAAGATAAAACAAGATCTGGAATGCAGAGTGCCTATCCCAATGCCCGGTGTATGAAGAGGGCTGTAATTACCATTAACTAATAGTTTTATTGTCTGAAAGGAATGTCAGAGATCAATTCAGATCTCAGAGCATCAGAGGGAAGGTGTGGAGTACACTGACATTTATAAAGCAAATGTATTTCACAGGGCCTAGTTTCCAAAGCCCTGCAGTTTCAGGTTTAGCCTAAGTTCTTAAAACTACATATAGAAATGTTAATCTTGCAAAAGATGGGAAACTTTCCTCAGGCTAAAGTCTCTGTTGTGGGGCTGATCCCGTGACTCGGGAGAGTGTGGCGCTGGGAGCACAGCAGCACTCCCGCCACGGGTTCGGATCCTATATAGGGATGGCCGGTGCGCTCACTGGCTGAGCGCGGTGCAGCCGGTCTCAAAAAGGACAAAAAAAAAAAAATTTTTTTTAAAATAAAGTCTCTGTTGTGGATATAAAATTGTAACACAGCAAAGTTGCTGGCTCAAGGACAGATGTCCTTGGTTAATCTATCGATTGTTATATAAAATACTGAGGAAACTGCTGCAGGAAAACACAGTATTTGCTAAGAACAAGCTTTTGTTGGTGGATCCACTTAACCTTTTGCAAACTGCTTTATGGAATGTCACTTTGCTTATTTCAATGATGTTACTATTTTTCCATTTGTTAGCCATAATTCTGCCGATATCCTTGTGTCTTTGTAATGGTTAAATCAGCTGAATTTTCTTGTAAAACTTCCTTGTCTTTGCAATAAAAGTGAGAGGCTAACTTTGAAAGTGGCTGACACATTCAGTTTTGCTGCTCATAATGAGGAAATTACTGAAGTGCAGTCCTTCTGGTTCTCAATGCATACAAAGTGCTTGAGTATTCGCATAATTCTTTTCTTCGTATCTGTTACACAGGGAAAAGAGGTGTAACAAGAAGGGCTCCCTAACACCTCCCCACGTTGCTCAATGCTGCCACATCATGTGCTTGCAAGGCCCAATGTCCCCCACCACCCTTTGGGATTCTAGATCTGTGCAAACCCAATGGCTGACTGTTCCTCTACTTCCTGCCCCCCAGCAGAAGGCAGGACAGTGTCTACCTCAAGCTCTGCTGACCCCCAGGGCCTGTTGGAACAGATCCCTGATAGACAAGAGTCTCCTTGAGAAAGCAGGCTCCCCGCTGCTCACCGGTTCTTGCCTGTCTCGTCCTGGAAGACCTGGTCGCAGTAGGACATCATGCGCTCGGTGAAGGTGTACACCTGCAGGCCCGGATACATCCTCGTGAGCTGCAGCAGCGTGCGGTAGGTGCGACCGCCCAGCGCCCGGTCCATGTGCTTGCCCTGGCCCCACACCACGTACAGTGTGTCGCGGGCCTGCTGGAAATAGTGTGAGTAGTTGCGCAGCAGCAGCGGCACACTCGTGTGTGAGATCACGCGCAGGGTGCTGCGCTGGCCCACGTCCACCTCAAAGCCCACGGTGGGCGCCTGGTTCATGCGTAGCACACACTCAGCCCCGTCAATCTGGGCGCCCAGGCCCGAGCCCAGCATCTGGCCAGAGCTGGACACCACGGCACAGCTGTGGCACTGCTCGCGCACCAGTGGCTGCAGGGGGGACAGAGAGAAAAAGAGAGGGGGCGTGGACACACAGCTTCCACCCACCTGCCGCTCCCCCCAGGAACACCCACTGACCTTGCCTGATCGCTGTAGCAGCTCCAAAGACTGTTACTGACCCATTTTCCAGGCAGGGTCAGTGGGGTGACCTTCCCAAGGTCTCAAGTGTCAGAGCTAAGATTCTACATTCAGAGCCCCAGGCTTCCTCCCAGCCATGTTTGTGAACCTGGCCCCTGCTGCTATCTCTGAGGCCCTAACAGTCCTCCTATCACGGGTCCCTTATTAGGTTACAAATATTTACAAAACACTTAGACCAGTGGCTGGCACAGATTGGGTGTCATGTAAGTATTTGCTAAGTAAACATGAGCCCCACCTCTTCAAAACCATTCTCAGGGGCCAGCCCGTGGCTCACTCGGGAGAGTGCGGGGCTGATAACACCAAGGCCACGGGTTTGGATCCCTGTATAGGGATGGCCGGTTCGCTCACTGGGTGAGCGTGGTGCTAACAACAGCAAGTCAAGGGTTAAGATCCCCTAACCAGTCATCTTTAAAAAAAAAAACAACCATTCTCAGGCCACTCCCTCCCCTGCGCCAACCCCACCCATGTTGTACCCAGTTTATAAGTAAAACCAGGGTCTTCAGTGCCCACCACTTGGGAATCTCTGGTTTGCGCCTGAATCGTGGCTCTGCCCCTTTCTAGCCATGTGGCCTTAGGCAAGTCACTTTGCCTCTGTGAGCCTCACTTCCCACATCTGTCAAATGGGGATGAAAACAGCATGTACTTCAGCTGGTTGTGAGGATTCGATGAAAATGTCTGGAGAAAATAAAGAGCTGGTGGGACACAAATTAGGAGTCTAAAAGAGCCAGAAGGACAGGCTGCTGAGACGCCCAGAGACAGAGCGTGCGGCGGGCGTTCTCCACAGTGAGAAAGTCCCTGCCCTATTTATTTTCTCACATGAAAGCCAATCATCCTCTATCAAAACTTCTTAAAATCAGCCCAGAAAGGGCTGCAAAAGGGCCTGAGAGAACTTTGGAGGGTGATATAAAAGTTCTATATTATGATGGTTGTGGTTGTTACACAATCATGTACATTTGTCCAAACTTACTGAAATGTACACTTAAAACTGGTGAATTTTATTGTATGTAAATTACACTTCAGTAAAGCTGATTGAAAATGCCTGGAGAGTGCTTGGCACAGACCTAGGGCACAGGCAGAAGCTCAGCAACATGCCTGAAAATATTCACTGGGGGTCAGGGATCGGGGCTCCCAGATCCGTGTTTTCCACGCCACGCCGCCATGCCCTCCTGTGGGAACTCAGGTTTACAGGGGCAGGTAAAGGATGCAAGGACATTAATTCCAGCCAATAAAAGACACACTGTCATATCCCACTCAGGGACATTTTATATGTGACACAATATTGATTCAGGAACTCGTAAGCCCATTTTCCACACCCCAGCAATAAAGAACAAGACTTCCTTATTCTGCCCGCAGTTTGGGCCTCTCCTCACAACTGGGGCTCTGTTCTGATCCAAGGTCATCACCAGCCCCAGGAAATACTCTGTTTGTCCCTCACAAGGTCTTCAAATTTTTTTGTTAAGTCTTAATTTATAAAAATTGGCCCTTTTGACTATAAAAAAAAAATCTGGATTTTCTGCTTCTCTTTAAGAAAAAATGCCAGAAGATCTGGCCTCCTTGGGCCCATGTCCCTGTGAGGCTCTGTGTGTCTGAAATGAACACCGGCCACCACCATGGCAGATGGGATGGTGTCCACCCAGCCCAACCCGACATCTGTCCCACCTGGCCATTCCTGTGGGGCATGAGAATTCGAGCCCCCCAGTAGTTTTTGTTTCTTCATCAAATATTTGCACAGCACCTGTTGGGCACATTGTCCATGAACCATCCAGCTGCATCTTCATGGCGACCCTACAGAGGTGGGAACTGCAAGATTGCCTTTTACAGAGGAGGAGGCAGCTGAGACTCAGAGCGACAAAGTCCAGAAACGCATCTCCTCCAGGGCAGGATTCCTGAGCAGCCCCCCCAGCAACTCTCAGAGAGCCATGCAACTCAGAACTGGGAGCCTCTTCACAGGGCATCAACACGGATGTCTTTGCCGTGCTCACTGGACAACAAACTTCCCACATAGGCCCACTGAAATAGGACCAGGGGTGTAAAGTGTTCTGCACCTGGCCAGGCAGAGCAAGCGTGAGGAGATAGGCACCATGGGGTAGGGGCTATGGCTGCCGTGTTACCCCTGGGCCTCTGTATCACTCCTGATGAAAGGGAGAGCTCTGGGATTGAACATAAGTTTTATATGTCATCTCTCTAATCTCAGCAGCCATCAGCACACTAAGGCCAGACACACTAAGGTGCCAAGAACGTGCTCGCTGAACAGCTTGTGTGTGTAGACACATAAATCTAAAGAGGCACAGAATGCACATGTCACACACTTCTATGACTATGTCTGTCTCACCTACTGGACTAGGAACTCCAGGAGGAAGCCACCCTCTCTGACACCTTTGTATCGCCAGCACCCAGCTGACAGCAGCCAGGCAATATTTCTTAATAATAAAATCTGTGTCCTTCTAGAACCTGGGGCTCAGATCACACAGCTGAGGTGAAGTGACTGGCCCAGATCACACAGCTGGTGAGCAGAAAGGCCGAGCTCAGGATCCAGGTTGGCCTGGCACAAGCCCAGTTCTTGCTACCCACCTAGGGTTGGGGGGCACCCTGGAAGCCTTGCCCCAAGCAAGTTGCCTGGCTGACTCACCTTCCCATCTGGCACGCTGCTGTATCCACTGAAGTGCAGGGGCCCTGGCACGGTGGGCTCGGAGCGGATAGGGAGGCGGTGGTCCAGGCAGGTTGCCAGGCAGAGGGGCGGGCAGGCCCAGCAGCACAAGAGGGCATAGACAGCAGAGAAGACCAAGGAGCACAGGATGATGAGCAGGAGGCGACCCTGAGTGAGACGGCAGTCATGGGGGGTGTGCATGTGGGAGTGAGACTCCCAGAAGCCTCTGCAGTGGGCCGCACCCCACCCTCCTGCCTCTAGACCCCACTTCAGCAGCTTCTAGAATAGCAGCAGAATCCACAGTCTCCAGCAACGAGGCTTTATCCAGGGCTGCCAGGCTCTGGGCACACAAAGCCCTGGAGATGACTCTATCATCATCCCCATATTCTAGATAAGGAAATCAACTTGGGGTGAGTGTGTTGCTCAGGGCTACATCGCAAGGAGGCAGCAGGGCAAGGCCTTCTATCCAGGCTGCAGAGCCCCTATGCTTAACCAGAAGCCTGGGCGTCCTCTGTGGCCCTGGGTAGGACTCTCCATCTCTGGGCCTGTTTCCTCCTCTACAAATGGGGGCTGATAATGCCCCCATTCACTTACAGTAAGAACGGTGGGGAAAGTGTTCTGTATACTGTAGAGTATTGTGCACATGAGGATGGGAGAGTGACGCGTCAGAAGGGCTTCCAGCCCCTTCAGTCCATGGACCAATGTGCCCAGTATGGCCCCGCCTCCATCCCCACCCCCAGCTGACTCAGTGGCTGTCCCCTAGGCTGATGATCATGTTCTGGATCAGTAGCCAGGTGGTGGAAGGAGATTTGGAGGAAACATCATTCAAGAAACGGTTTCAGGGCCGGCCTGTGGCTCACTCGGGAGAGTGTGGTGCTGATAACACCAAGGCCACGGGTTCGGATCCTATATAGGGATGGCCGGTTCGCTCACTGGCTGAGCGTGGTGCTGACCACACCAAGTCAAGGGCTGAGATCCCCTTACCGGTCATCTTTAAAAAAAAAAAAAAAAAAAAGAAATGGTTTCAATAATTGAAAAGCTGCTGCCCAGAGGCTCCCATCTCCAGAAATCATGTGCCAAAGGCCATTTGAACCAGGAAGCTCTTCTGGCCCTTTGGCAGGAGCCCAGCCTGAGGCTGGCCCTGCTGGCAGACTTAGTGAATGCCCCCTCCAAGCCTTCCAGGAGGGGCTGTCTGCTGAGGGACAGGACCCTGAGTCTGTCAGTGGGTGTTGGGCCACTTGGGTCACCACCTGTATCTCTCTGGGCTCCAGTTTTCTAGGCCCAAGGCACAGGTGCCTAGGTCACCTCTCAGAAACCACCTAGCACCTGGCTGATGCTCTTTGAAAATCAGAGGTGGGAAAGCAGCCCCCACCCCACCAACCAGGCACATCCTGCCAGAGGCCCACCCTTTTCTGCCCACAAGCCAAATCAGCTTCTAAAAATAAATCTCCTCTGTGTGGCCAGCTGTGTGGGGGAGAGCTTTCAGCCCCTGAGGCCTCAGGCTCTGCCTGGCAACTAGCCCCCTGCCCACAAGGGACCAGAAACCCAGAGACCATGACTCAGGCAGTAGAGGTTAACTACCCCCAACATCCAGTTCTCTCTCCCATAACCAGGGGCTCCTGAATAAAGACAAGAGCAGTTGAGCTGAATTTTCACACCATGTCCCACTCCCAGGTAGGCTCAGTGGGTGGCCCCGTAGTACTACTATCTCCATTTTACAGGGGAGGAGAAAAAGTCACTGAAACCAGAGAGGGGATGTCACTGGCCTGGGGCCACACAGCCTGCAAGAGCAGGGCTGGACTTTGAGACCAGTCTGCCCTTTTCTGTTCAGGAGCAGTGGGGTCAGAAGTGAGAGTCGTGGGGTGGGAGAGGCTGCTGAGGCTGTTCTGCCAGAAGTTACCTCCAAGTCCCCTGTGACCCCTCCTTCCACCACTTACTGGAGCCTTCATGCTGTCACAGTCCCTCAGCAGTCCAGGCGCTGTTGTCTCCAGGGCTCGGGATGAGAAGGGGTAGGAGCCAGGCACCTGCTGAGACCCAGAAACTCAGAACCGGAAGGGAATAAGGCAGACGGGGTCCCAGGCTATCAGGGAAATTGAGGCAGGGGAAGGTACAGGCCAGGGTCAAGGCAGATGGCTCCCGGGAATCAAACGCCTTAAAGTCTCCAAACATGGGGCAGCAGTGTCCCCATCCTAAGGGATCCCGCCGGCCAACCCAATCCCCATTATGCAGATGGGAAAGGAGAGGCAGAGACGGGGCGCCCTCGGCTCAAGGTCGCCCATCGGGTCTCAGGCAGATAGAGCCAGGAGGTAGGAGCCCGGATTTCCACCCCATCCATCCTCCCTCCCTACCCACGGGGCGAACGGAGAGGCCTGGGGCGATCAGGACGTGGGGTTTTCACTTCCCTTCCAGATTCCATCGCCCCCTCCCCCGGCCGGGCGCTCACCGTGCGGGCAGGTTGGGGCGCGCCGGAGGCTCACGATCCGCTGCTCGGAGCTCCATGGCCCACAGGCCGGGTTGATGGGGATGGAAGCCGGAGCACCGGGGCGGAGACAGCGCTGTGCCCGCAGCTTCTGGAGGCTGGAAGCAGAAACAGCGCTGCCGGGGCGGGGGCGGGGCCTGAGGGGACGGGGCGGAGACTTACGCGCCGGGGGCGGGGCCTGAGCGGCCGGGGCGGGGCCCACGAGCGTCGCCTGCGCGACCTGGGGCGGAGTCTGCGCGCGGACCGGGCGGGACGTGCGTGGCTGGCGGCGAGGCTCCCGGGCCCCAGCGGCCGGGGCGGAGTCTGAGCTCCGGCGTCTAGTTTTTTCCGTCCTCCCGCGTGTCTGTCGGGCTTCTGCAGCTGTGGAAAGAGACTTAGAGGGTGTCGGAGCCACCGTGCAGTGACTGCCTGGCCATTTGGACTTGAGTTTCTCCATTTCTGAGATTGGGGGTGGGTGGGGAAATTAAGCGGGGGCCTCGGGTCAGGCAGCGCCGGGTTTCAAGCTGGTAGTGTTGCCAGATTTAGTAAGTAAAATACTGGACGCCCAGCTAAATTGGACTGGAAGGGCCGGCCCGTGGCTCACTCGGGAGAGTGCGGTGCTGAGAACACCAAGGCCCCGGGTTCGGATCCCACATAGGGATGGCCGGTTCGCTCACTGGCTGAGCGTGGTGCTGGCAACACCAAGCCAAGGGTTGAGATCCCCTTACCGGTCATCTTTAAAAAAATAAATAAACAAATGAAAATAATAATAAATAAATAAATTGGACTGGAAGGTAAATAACGATAAACGAGTTGTTTTTTAATGTAATTATCTCATTATGATTACGTCCGTGTGACCTTCACCCGAGCCTCAGTTTTTCTCTTTGTAAATGGGGATAATAACAGCACCTACCTCCCGGTGAGATGGTGCAGGGGCAGCTCAGGGCAGAGCCAGGATGCGAACCTGGGCAGTTTCACTCCAGAGCCAGGGCTGCGACCACTTACTCTTACCTCCCAAAGGCTCCCTCCATGGAGTGTCCTCCAAACCCATGTCAATGCAATCTAGGGCCTCAGCAGATGCTGAAATGTGTCCCATTTGAAGGTTCAGATGGGTTCCCTTGGAGATCTCGAACACAGATGCCTTCAGGGGCTGGGCTGGTAGCAGAAAGGGTTGAAGGGGTGAAGGGGTGACTTCAGGGCAATAGAGGAAGTGGGCCTGGGTGAGTTGGAGAGCGCACTTATCGTCTAAGATCTTTTTTCACAAAATGTTGCATTGGTGGGAAAGCTCATCTAACCATCCTAGCCACACCTACCTCCCTCTGCAGGGCCCTGGCCTGGGAACCAGCCTGGACTCCTGCTCTGGCCCCCATTTCAAACTTCATTTTTCTTTTTCTCAGAGGCTTGGGTATGAGCAGGATGCCAGGGTATGTGTCCCCAGCTCAGCAACCTTCCAAGCCTACCTTGCTCCGGGTTCAAAGCCAAGTCCCCAGAGCCTGATGTTCTAGACCCATGCCTTTCCCTACCCTGTCCAGAGTGCAGGGAGGAGGGCTGCTGAAGTGGCCCTGCCCCCAGGAGCCTCCTTTGAGCATGAGCTCTCGTTGTCCCTCCCACCCCAGCCTGGGCACAAGTTCATTCACTCTGTGCAGCCCCTCACTCACACAAGGAAAGGCACACAGTGGGTTGCCAGAGCCAGAGTTCTTCTGGCCTCCCCCAAGTCCTCCTCCTTGAAGTTTCTTTCCTAATAGACCCACCCCAAGGACACAATGGTAAGTTCCCCGTCACCCATGATGGCTGGTGAAGTAATGACTCCTTCCCTGGGTAGGCAGCTCTCTCCTTGCTAGGGCCACACAGAGACAGGGGCATGTCCAAATGGCCCCGGGCTGCCAGGGCAGATGAGGATCAGAAGTTCACAGTGGAACTGAGACAGGAAGTCCCACAGCTCCAGATGAAATTCTTCGGTTTGATTTTAGTGAAAACCCACTCTCCTTACCCCAGCCTACAAGACCCTGTGTGTTATAAATTCCTACTTCCCAGGGCCGGCCCGTGGCTCACTCGGGAGAGTGCAGTGCTGATAATACCAAGGTCATGGGTTTGGATCCT